CACATAGATGCACTGTATCAAAGCACTTTGAGTGGTCATCAGGAAGAGAACAGCACTGTATAAACACAGACCATTTATAATAACATCATTATAGGAATCACTGGCAATATATCGGCCAATGGGTCAATATGAGAAGTGTTTAAATTCTAATATCTGCATCAGCCCCCGACAGCCCACATCATCCAGGCTCTGCTATTAAGTACCAGTCTGTAATTCCTTCGACAGCACAATCCAGCCTGTGTATAAGTTGTTCGCGTGGAGATTTGCAATTGAGATAAAGTTTTGATTGCCTTTCAAACACACGGGTAGGAAGTAATAACAGAAACTGCTTATTGTAGTACAGCCTCATACTAATGACAGAAGTATCGGGTATGTTTTTCTTTTGAAAACTTAAATATGATGCCTTTAATACATCTCTCAAAGGCGACTCATACTGCTGATGTGATTCGTTAGCTAATTTAGCAGTTAACAGACTGCATCACAGCGACAGGCTGTGGGTTTATCTGTGGTATCTGTGTTTTTCGACCGTCAGGCCCTGATGGATCAGATATGCATTCCTTCTCTGTTATAGCATGTGACAGCACTGATGCTATCTGCAGCAGCCACAACTTCAGCACCTCAGCCTCACCAGCTACACCTATTAACAAGGTCGATCCACTGTTATTTTTTTACACTTCTCAGTGTCGATGTCATTATTTTTCTTAAATTGGTAAAAATCTTCCTTCATGAGTGCATGCATCAGTTCATTCAACCTCTCCGGACTCCGCTCGCTCTCTTTCTCTATCTCCCTCTCTCATGACCACTCACACTTTGTCATACTACACATTCGTCAACGAAGAGATCATTTGGTCCTCACAAACACAAATCAGATATCTTTATTTGTATAAACAGCAGGGAAGTGAGTTCCGATCACTAGTGGTCGCAGGGGACACAATCAGGACGCATTTTAATTCCAGTTGTGAAGAAATGTACCTGCTGTCCAGCGCCAGAGAGAAACAACAGTTGAGGTGTTCATGTTCCATCTTTTTATCTCTGTCCACAGCCTCTGGACTCTCAACACCACCCACCACCCCAACCCAGGTGGCCAGCCAGCCTGTGTTCACCCAGGAGGCCCAGGCGAGCGGGCCCAGCCCCGAGCGCCTGGAGCCGAGGTCCAGATCCCGCTCCCACTCCACACCTGCAGACACAGGACAGCGTCTCTTCCTCCCTTCCGCTAAACCCCCGATCCCTTCCTCAAGCCCTGTGCCAGCTTACTCTACCTCACAACAAGTAAGTCATGACGAAAGAGAAAGTCACTGTTTTTAAGAAGTTGTTTAAATTGCAACGCCTCTCTATTTTAAGAATTTGTGTGAGGACAGCTCATTCGCTGCATGTGATCTCTGTGGCTGTGACATAGTCTTAATAAGATGTGACTTCTTGCTCGGGTTAGAGATAGATTAGGTTAGATTGCATCCTTCATGGCTTCACACAGTTTTCTTTCGATGTTTATGATGTAGCCAGATTCCCCATCACAAGATCACTTAGGAGAGTTCACAAGTAATGACTTTACTGTCCTGGAGCTCAGAAATAACTTATGTATCCAAGTATTTTAATATTTGTAGCTTTTACTGAAAAAAGAAAAAAAATCTTTGCACATTTTCTGAACATATGATCAGACTTGGGTCATGGGATGTTGAAGCTAAAAAAGGATTTTTCCTTTGTGGCTACATAAAAGTGGCCTAACATGTGTCTATGAGTCATGTGCTGTTTTACAGTGCTGAGTCAGAAGGGTTTATTTCACAGGAGCAGAAAGTATGGATGATGCAAATCTCTTTTATTCAAGCTATACTTCAGCATGAGGTCATGTCAAGAGATTTGTGTTTGCACCATTTGCTCTGAGCTTCAGCGGCAAGACCGAAGGTGTAAATATTGTTTCGGCAACAAGGAAAAATCTCAACTAGCGAAATGTCGGCAAAGCAGCCGCACAGTCAGCTGCAAATCACAGCTGATAACAAATCTAGTCTTTGTCACAAGACAGTTTATTAGGATTCAGCGATCTGAGTCAGGATGTGATAGCAGGTATCCTGCAGTTGGTGAGGAATGACTTCATGACTGACCGTGCAGATTTAATGAATAATTATCTGCAGCACTGTCTCGACCTGTCTGCTGAGGGATTGTGGGTTCTAGCCTCAGAAGGTAAATCAATATTTCATCACCAGCAGTGTATACTGTTGATATTAACACCACAGGACTTGTGATTGTGGTTTAGGACAGGTCGGCGCACGTCAGCCTGTCACTGCCCCCTCCTCCTTTATCATACACATAAAGAAAGTTGATGTGGTTTACTCTATACCGAATCTTAAAATTCAAAAGCAATCCATTTAATGGATTTGTGAACGTCTGCTTCCCTGGAGTTTGCTGTGGGACCTCGGCAGACTGCGTCGCCTGCTGTGCTGCAGCACGGTGAGATTTATGAAAGTGCAGGAGTAGTTCTTTGGCAAAAGAAGTGCTGCGTCACCGTCGCAGGGACTGTTTCACATCCCAGAGCAGGTACGCAGGCTTTCTCACACTGCTGCAGTGGCTTTGTTGTGAACACACCAGCAAAGTGGGAACTGAGGAAAATCATATATCAACAAACGCACTTTGAGTATTCAAATCTCTCAACATGACACAGCACATCTCACGCTGTGCAGCCTGAGAGATGCAAATAAAACACTCGCACATTCGACATTTCTTCGTGCTGCTGCTGGGACTCTGGTGTTGATGTCAGCCATGTTGCTGGTTTTGTCAGATGAAACAAAGTGTGAAGATGTGACAAGGCATCCCCAGCTTCTTGCTGCTTAGCAACCAGAGGGATTTCCTAATATGGCGAAGCACCCCTCTGCATGGAGGGGCGTGTCCACAGCGCGTGGAGCTTCCTGCTTGTGTTTAAACCAGCCCCTGTTCTGCATGTGACACTTTATTTACCTGCAGCTGAGTGTTGTTCGGTGGATTGTTGTTTAAACAGTGAGTGTTGGTGGTTTATTGGAGTGGGTGACGTGCGTGTGGTGGTTGTTTGAGCAGCGTGCACGCGTCAGATCTCCCTCTACTGCAGCAAATGGATCAGGACTGTTCCACTCCCAGTTTGAAGGGGTGTGTGCTCTGACGACAACCTGTCGCTGAAGTTGCAGCTCCGTGTTTTTGGCTCGTCGCTCGTTCGCATGTGTCCGATCTCGATGCGCTTTTCCGTGACACGCTAAACTCTGCGGGCGCGGGACGTGTGCGCGTGTCCCCGTGGTTACTCTCTGCGTTGTTCGCCTCCTCGGTCCGTGTGATCGGTGCCGCCGGGGGAAAGTCTCCTCACGCTCGTGCTCACTCACAATTTACAGCAAAGTTTGTTTTAGTCGCGTGTTGTCGAGAGGATTCACCGCAAACTTCTGCTCTGTGTCTCTGTCTCAGGTGTCCGGGTTATTCGAAGGCATGCTGGAGAAACTTGAACTGGATGATGAAGGTGAGTGCGATCATCTGCTGCTCTTTGTTGTCACTGCCTCCACCGACACAGGCTTCAGAAGAAGATTGGTCCTCCACTGGTGTAGTAAGAATGGAAATAATAATACTATATATGATTAAAAGTTGAAATATGTTCTAAATCAATATAAAGATGTGGATGAGGGTCGTGCATTTTCTCCAATTCTTTGTAAAATGCTTTGAAAGGGTGATCAGGGTGTCATGGGCGTGATGTCAGCAGTTTAATCCAAATGACAAATATCTAGATTTAAAGACCGTGTGATGGAACGATTCATTCTGTGTGAGTGAGTGATCCTCTACTGCGTTTTCTAAAATTGTACAGGAAAGTACTGTATCAGGTGAAAAGACAAGGGACTGTTCAAGATGTGACACGAGACAGAAATGAGTTGCATGAAGCTTATGAGAACTTATAATACACCTGTTGAAGATGAGGTCAGAAACCTGTGTAATGCTGGAGAGACTGAGAATGAAAGTTTTGGCAGGGCAGTCATGGAATATCAATAATTATTGCTATTTAATTTTAATCAAAGTTA